AAAGTGATCACTAATATTTATTTAGAAATGCGTGTGGCGTCTCGCGACTCAATACATAATTGAGGAGATGGACCATTGGACTTGATGGACTTCGTTCGTTACTGAATTTGTCTAGGTCTTTGAATGACGACAATGCTGGAGAAAATCAGGAATCGAATACGAATCTTCCACATTTAAGTTTTCTTCCTAGTGATTAACCAAAATTTCACATTTTTATCAAGGCTTGGGAAGAACCGGTTATTCACTGCGGTATATCAAACTAATGCCAAACTAGGAAAATGCTTGAATTACTTCAATGTGAAACAACAGTTTGAGGATAAAAAAATGTTATTTCAAAAGATTCAAGAGGTCCAAAATTTCCAGAAGCCCTTCAAAATGTTTCCCACTATTTCGCTGCTTACCACCTTCGTCAGGCTTGAAACATCGCCACATTAAGAAGTTTAAATTATTGTTGTATTTTCATTTATTCTGGATACTCAACTTGTGAAAAGATAGTAAGAAGTGTTTTACAAGAGTGCTGTTTATTACCAAAATTTCGCCCCAGACAGGATTCAAACCTGTGCCTCTCGCATATCGCGCACGTGCACTACAAGTTAACCCTGACAGGGCACCGTTGCAACTCAGCTTCAACAACTGAAAACAAGACCCAATTTCTGATAGTGGTGAAGCTAAAACGGCTGGAAATATGAAAACTTGTACTGAATGACGCTGAAAGTGATATACCTCGGCCTGCAGACTGCATTCACGATGACCAAGTTCATGTGATTGATCTGGGAACAGGGTTAGATCACATTTGTAGCCAACGCTAGAAGCAACGAAAGCGGCTACCACCAAGACGAGAAGCATTCCAAATAATGTTTCCGTTATTTACTCGCCTTATGTACCTCTTCGACCCGCCCCTGCGCTATAACAGCCAATGGTGGCATGGCGCTCCACATCTCGGAATGATACCGTCACGCTTCATTTATATAAATTAACAGCCATATTATTCCACATGATCTTACTTAGTTCAATCTTACTCACTTCACGCGTGAAATAATCGAAGCATAACTGAAGGATAGCCCCAAAAACGTCTTATGACAACAGAAAACAGAAATAAACAGCCGTGAAACAGCTACGTATCACTTCATATTTCACAGAAGTGGGGGAGTTGCACACATAGCAGAGTCGTTCTCATTGATTTATTTAGTATTTTTTCCAAGTCTGAAGCCGCCAGCATATTTTTTTCGGGCACAGAAAACATCGCACTAATGGATCAGAGGTCGTCGAAAATGCATGGAGAGGCGCAACTACGGCGATTCACTATGGTCATTCTCAAAGGATTTTAATGTCACGGTGTAACGCTTTAATGTAACAACCCCAAATCAAAGTGATGGCATAACAGAAGTGGCTAATGAAATTGTGGATGTCGAACTGACTGAAAATAAAAAAAAGAAACAAAATAAACCGTCGATGAATCCATTACCAAGTATTCCTTCCTTTCTCTCTTGAAAAGAGGATGGAGCGCTTCCGTACGAGTTGTCTGAACTTGCATGACATGGCTCCACTAACCCGTGCGTATTTGGATTACTCAAATCTATTGCTTACACAAAGCCATTCGCTTTCTCCTCCCTAAGGAAGAGCAGGGCGTGACGAGTTCGAATGTGCTTGCTCCACGGCTCCACAGACCCGCGCGTATTTGAATTAGCCGCTACGTCGTAATCCACGCTGCGTATCATGGGTGTGCGCGAGGTATCTCGTCCATAAGTTCACATTAGTCGCCATCAGATCACTTTGTAAGGCCCTAGCGCCATTGTCGCGCACTTTCGAGCCGCGACAACGGCACATCTGTGATACTCGTGGGCTACTCTATCCACCACAAAACAGATTCTTCGACACGGCCTATTCTGGGGTTGAGGCACATGTGCATCACTCCGCCAAACGAAGACCGTCAGATGGACACGATTTCGTCTCCACTATTCAATTACTTTCCACGTCTCTAAAATGGATTTATACAGAATTATATTTATATTGATTGTTATATTCATACAAGAAACGATGAACCTATCAATGCTCATTGAACTACTGGTAGGCTTTAAGTTACTGGACGCAATCACAAGGTACTGGGCATCCTCCAGCACTAAGCTTAGAAGGGGTAGGAACTTCATTACAATTGGAAACTGTTAGGGTACTCCCGATACTATCAAACTGGAGATGTATTACGCTGTTTAAATGCATGTCCACCACAATGCCCCCGTTTCTTGCGATAGCGCCAGTTACTG